AGAAAATCTTGCCTCCCGCCGGTCGATGGTATACTTCCAGCCTCGGCTCTGCCGGGTTGGTTTCCTTTAAGCCCAGTACCGGGTTTAGGGTTTAGGGTTTAGGGTTTAGGGTTTAGGGTTTAGGCCCAAAAAAATTTAAACTTTTCTTTTAGTAGGGGTTTGATATATCAAAAAAAAATTAAACTTTACCTATTGGGCTCCTAAGGTTTTTAGGGGCTTGTAAGGTTTAGGATTGTAGGGTTCTTGACAGGTTGAGGATTTAGGGTTTAGGGTTTTAAGATTCAGGGTTTAGGGTTTAGGCTTTTAGGGTTTAGGCTTGTAGAGTTTTTTTCGGGTGTGTACTTGTGGTTTCGACGCATCTTGGGTTAGGGTTTTGGGTATTACGATTACGAGTGTTTGCTGGTAACTCGATTACTCGTACTACTATGACTATGACTGGTACCCCTGCTGCACCTTCTTCTACCGCAACCCTAAACCCTAAACCCTAAACCCTAAACCCTAAACCCTAAACCCTAAACCCTACCCTAAACCCTAAACCCTAAACCCTAAACCCTAAACCACCATACTGTATGGCGAGCAACTGCCTGCGCCGCCGCCCTGCCTTTCCAGCCACGGCTCTCAGGGTCCACCGGGCGGATGCTCCTAAACCCTAAACCCAAAACCCCTGGAGGATCTAAAAAGTAGATCCCCTAATTTGGGGACCCTAACTACTAAAGGGTTCTCTATAGGAGCCTACATAAGGGATCTACTTTTTGGATCCTCCCGGCGGTCTGGGTGTTGATGAAACGGATCTGCGATCCCTGGACCAAGGGCATGCAAGGCCCTGGCCGAAGGCACAGGTAATGTAGGGGCCTTAATAATAGCATTAGGGTCTTGGGGTATGTTAGAGCTTACTTTTAAGAAGCAGCCCCCAAAATAGTATTGGTAATCCCTATACGCCCCTATATAGGGCTTGAAATCCCTGCGCCCTAAGTCTGTAGACCGTAAAACGCTCTTCAAAACCATAGCGAATCCACGAACCTGGCTGCTGAGATCCCTGGCCCAACCCCGTTCACCTTTAAGTGATTATGGGTAGTTCTCTAAATTAGGGTCCCTTTTGGGGGTCCTTTTTATAAGGGTGCCGTACTATTTTAGGGACCTAAAAAGGGACCCTAATTTAGAGAATTACCCTTATAGTGAGGGTAGATTCCCCAATGCGGCTGACGGTCACGAACCTGCTCGGCTGCTAGCTGAACCCTAGGACCCTAAACCCTAGCTCCGTAGGAAGCATGAAACTCTCAACTCTACAGCCCTTCCTAAGCACTAAAGTCCTTCAAACCCGCATCAAAGATTGGTGCCTTGAAAAGCAAGTCTAAAGCCCTCATAAACCCATAAGGCCCATACAACTTCCTCCGAAACCCGCTTGCACACCCATTTCAACTCTGAATCCCGTTCTCTGAATCACCCTAAACCATGCTAAACCCTCAACCCTTAAACCCCAAACCCCAAACCCTTTAACCCTAAACCCTCCTAAGCCTCAGTCATAATGAAACTGGTCAGGTCACAATGATCTCGGGCAGCCAAGCAGGGAGCCTGACGACGACTTGGCAACTTCTTGGAATGCAGGGGCTTTGAGGTTTAGGGGTTTCGGGCTTGAAGGTTTAGGGGTTTAGGGTTTTAGGGTGTTAAGGTTTAGGGTTTAGGGCTTTAGGGGTTTTGGGGTTTTGGGGTTTAGGCTTTAGAGCTTTAGGGGTTTAGGGGTTAGGGGCTTAGGGATTCAGGGATTTAGGGGTTTAGTGTTTCAGGGTTTAGGGCTTAGGGTTTGGGAGTTACGTTTTCGGATCTCCGGTTTAGGCCTTCCGTTGTGTGATTCGAGACTTTTCGAAACAGATTCGTAGGGCATTGAGGTTTGAGCATTGAAGATACATGGGAAGTATGGTAAATTGGTCGTTCTCGATTGCAGAAAGCTTTGGAGAAGGCTTGTTCGAGGACATTTTCAGGTGGGTAGTTACCGTTAGAGGAGCCTTATAGAAGGTCTGTCTTCCTTATGGAAGCCTTATAGAAGCCCTCTATACCTTAAACTCCCCACCTGTAGCTTCCTTTGGCTTGTGGCGTTTCAAGGACCCGGGCCATGAACTTGGGTTGATCATATTCCGGATCCAAGGCTACATACAGGGTTGGGTTTCCCTAAACCCCTAAACCCCTAAACCCTAAAGCCCTAAAGCCCCAAAGCCCTAAACCCTAACCCCTAAACCCTAAACCCTCCTAAACCCTCCTAAACCCTAAGCCCCTAAAGCCCTAAACCCCTAAACCCTTAAAGCCCTCAAGCCCCAAACCCTAAGCCCCGAAGCCCCTAAAGCCCTAAAACCCTAAACCCTAAGCCCCTAAGCCCCTAAAGCCCTAAAGCCCTAAACCCCTAAAGCCCTAAACCCCGAAACCCCAAAAACCCTAAACCCTAAAGCCCTAAAGCCCTAAACCCTTAAAGCCCTAAAGCCCCAAACCCTAAACCCAAAGCCCCAAAGCCCCTAAAGCCCTAAAGCCCTAAAGCCCTAAACCCTAAACCCCCTAAAGCCCTAAACCCCCTAAAGCCCTAAAGCCCTAAAGCCCCAAACCCTAAACCCTAAACCCCCTAAAGCCCTAAACCCCCAAAGCCCTAAACCCTAAACCCGTAAACCCCTAAACCCCTAAACTTAAACCCTAAACCGGGGCCCAGGCTGCCGGTGTTGAGGGCTGAGGGTCTTCGAGGCATAACCCTGAGGCTCCAAATATCCCAAAGTAGGTACTACGGTTGATGATATAAATCCTGCATCACCAATAATAAGGAATATACCATAATTCCCATAGTTTAGGGCCCTTAAGGTAATGCAGGATTTATATCATCAACCGTATTTATGGACTTTAGGCCCCAAAGTGGTATTATTTGTACACTTGGAGTCCTAGGGTAAGGCTTGAGGTCGAGGACTGGCCGCTTCCTGTAGAGAACTTGCCTGCCTTCTTGTAGTTCTGGTGCTAATCATCATAGCAATAATCATCGTAAGTGTAACACCATAAAATTCTGTAGAAATTATGAGGTTCTACAAGCAGGGAATGCCATAGAAGGCATCTGACTTATCGGGCCTGTGCAAAGGAAACCCTAAACCCTAAACCCTAAACCCTAAACCCTAAGGGCCCCAACCCGCTGGCCCACTGGCCTTCACGCGGCAGTACTTGACGAAGCCATCCGGCAAGGTCTCGACGTCGACCTCTCAGGTCAAAGGGCTTTGGGTGTTGGGCTCAGGGCCCTCTTGCTGTTCGTTCCCTAAACCCCTGAGCCCTAAACCCAGACCCCTAAACCCTGAACCCAAAACCCTAAAACCCTACACCCCTAAACCCTAAAACTAAACCCCTAACCCCAAAAACCCTAAACCCTGATTCAGGTTTACGGCGTTTTAGTTTTAGGGCTTTGGGGTGTTGGTTAACTTGTAGGTCGGGGCTTGAGGCTTTAGGAACGACTGAAGGTTCCTATAAGGCTCATTTTACGGCTTTAGGGTTGAAGGGTTTAGGGTTAAGGGTTCCTAGGCGCTCAAGGCTTCGATGAGGCTTTCGTTAAGCTGTTATTGCAGCCTCAGAGTCGCAATACACGAATTAAAAGCTTTTCTGGCTAGTTTTCAGGTTTAGAGTTTTGGCTTTAGGGGTTTAGAGTTTAGGGTGTAGGATACAGGTTAAGCACGAACACTGCCACATACCTTCCATGGTCTCTTCAAAAACCCACCAAGAACCGTAAAATCCTAAACCGTGAGCCTAGACCCTGCTTCCGAAACCTTAATATAGGGGCCTTAGGGTGTATATTTTACTATGATTATATATAATAAGGACCCCCCACCCCCCCACCC